AAGCGCACCTCAGGCACAATCAAAATCTACCTCAACAAGTCAAAAAAATACGTCCCAAGAAAGTTATTCCCCTCTAAAATTTTTTCTTCGCCGCGTCCCGTTCTTCCAGCGCCCGGGTGATACCTGCCGCGCTCCAAGGCCGACGCGACGACGCGCAGACGCTTTCTGGCGCAACGGATTCATGTCTAGCACTCTTATTAACAAAAACAGGGGGTCGCAACTGGACCCCCTCGAGAGCTAGGGGGTCGCAAAAATCCCGAAAATGTTCGAACGTGACGGTTGACCCTGCCCCAACCCGTGCACTGTGGGCAGGGCATGACCTGAAGTAATTGCTGATGAGGCGATTCTATTCCAGTATGGCGAAAAAATTGGGCAAAATTTACAAAGCTCCGAGGTTGGCTTGTGGAATACAAGAAGATCTTCGTAGTGGGGTTGGACGAGGTGAGGGAGAGAAGCGTGGATCGAAATGGTCAACGTTCTTAAAAGTATCCCTATCCCTATTCCAGGACAACCAGAAGCCCTCGTTGCTATGTAAAGCACCCGAAAACAGTTTTTTTTTCAGCGAATAAGGACTGCTCAGCCGAGACGCCATATATTGTCTATCCTACCAAACAGATGCATAAGAAGATCATCACCTCGTATCCTGGCATGAACTCAGTGGTTGCCTGTATCGCAGCGTGCATCGATAACAGGAAGTGTAAAGTAAGTACCTCTCCACTTGGAACTTATTCACATTCTACGGAGTTAACCTAAAAGTTAAAAGTCCTCTAATAAAACGAGTGAAAAAAGAGCGAAAAAAAAACTTTGCAAGAGAATGTAGAGGTGTGTTGCTTATTCCAGAACGTACCAATTTCCTTTAGGCAGTGACCTACAAAGTCGGTCTGTGTATTCTTCATGGGGCATCACCGGCATCGGATTCCTCGCTGCTTGTCGACGGCAGCGAACAGACGATGGTTATTGAAAATGGCTGTCAGCTGACCACCGAATTTCTTCCATCACTGCTGTCTAATAATAATATTGGTCAGTAAGATTTATTGTGATTATTGCAAAAGCTCTTAAACAAGATTCGAATTTTTGCATGAAAGGCGGGGATGGTCGAGTGGCTAAGAGAGGATTCTCATGTCCGCATATTTGAGAGCCGTGGGTCAATCTGTGCCGAGGTTCAACCATGCTCTGCAGCAATTGCAAAAATGTTTACAGTACCGGCGTCAGGCCCAGGTCTACACCCCGTCACACCAGTCATGTCTAAAGTCGCAAAAGTATCAGTGTAATGCTAGGACGTCACCCGGAAGTGGCGCGCAGAACCCCGCCCGAGTTCTGTGGTCAGTATGCGAGGGCTACCGAGGAGTGAACGGCCTCGGCCAAAGAAGCTAGTTCGAATTGGGACTCTGAACGTAGGATCGCTAACTGGGAAGTCCCGAGAGGTTGCTGATCTGATGACGCGCAGGAATATCCAAGTCCTTGCCTTCAGGAGACGCGATGGAAAGGTGCTAAGGCCAGAGAAATCGGGGAAGGTGTCAAGCTCTACTACAATGGAGAAGACACCAAGCGGAACGGCGTGGCCATAGCGGTAGCGGAGTCGCTCAAGGACTATGTCTCCGCTGTGAACAGGATCAGCGATCGGATCATGGCTGTGAGGATAGACACGAAGGAGGGGTACTGGTCAATACTCTCCGTGTACGCACCGCAACCGGATGCCCCGAAAGTGAGAAGGACGAGTTCTACCTGAGCCTGACGATGCCATCAGATCGATTCCGGAAGTCGATTACTTCACCGTAGTATGTGATTCGAGCCACGTCAGCATCACAGAAGAGACCTGGGAAGACACGGAGGAAGATTGAAGCGAGGAACAGTTGAGAGCTTTCTGGTCTGGCTACAGACCACGACCTGGCAGTCTGCAGCACGTTCTTCGCGAAAAGGGAGACTCAGAAGGTAACCTACAGCAGTGGAGGGAGACAACGGAAATCGACCATGTGCTCGTGAAAAGATCATCCCTCACAACTGTAAAGAATATCAAGATACTCCCTTGAGAATTGGCTTCTCTGGCAGACACTGCTAAAGAGCTCTCTAATAAAACATCGGAAAGGCAGTACCGGTATAAGAATCCGGTGACAAACGGAGTAGGGCGACCTCAAACGAAGGATTATGGAAGTTGGTCTCCCAGATCCTGAGGGCCAATACAGCGGACTTGGGGCAGCGCGGCTGAGATCCATCCTGATGCGCCAAGGAGGTACTGGGCGAGACGCGAGGTGGATTCAGAGGAGACAAGGCAGCGTGGTTCTGGAACGAGGAGGTCCAGCGAGTCGTGAAGCAGAAGAAGGAAGCATACAAGCGCTGGCAGAAGACCCGGAGCCCGAAGGACCTCGCTGCCTACAAGAGTTGCAAGAGGCTCGCTAAGGCAGCCGTCGCCAAGGCGAAGAACACGGAAATGGACGCCTTGTACGAGAAGTTGGAAAGCCGAAATGCGGAAGTTCGTCTTCAGGCTGGAAAGCTAGGCTCCGAGCTTCTCAGGATATCAGGGTCGTGAAGAGTGTAGGAGCAACGGCACCAACCTGAGGAAGTCAGCTGAAGTTAGGAGAGGTTGGAAAAAAACTACGGCTACTTGCGAACGAGGACTTCTCTTACAAAGAGAACAAACAAGCAAAGGCGACGGCTAGTTCCATCACACTGTGGACAGAGGAGGTTCGTCGAGAGAAGTGGGCTGGTACAGATGGAGAACCAATGGAGGCATGAAAAGCAGTCGGCGAGTACGGGATACAGGACAACCCGTTTACTATCGATAACTGGCAAGTCATTGCACAGACAAAGCTGCA